GTACAAGTCTGCCATTCAGGTTGAACTGACTGAAGACAATGTAATCTCTCTGTGGCTCTCTGTGAGATATTTCAGTATAATGCACATAGCCACTCAAGGGAGACTTTACAAATCATATAAATACAATTATGTGAAAATTAATTCATCAAGCAAGTCTATTGTGAAAATTACAGAAACATTACTTTAAAACAAATATTAAAATGGCACAATACATGTACACACTGAGAATTTACAATCGTTTTTCTTCGTTTTATTCCATGGCTATTATTCATGCCAGGATCAACTCTAGTCTGTTAACTATAATAATAAAAAAAAAAATCATGTAAAGTAAATTTGTATTAGTCATAAAATAATAATCACAGAGAACAAGCAAAGCATGTACTATAGCTTTTTTTCCTAACAAAAATATACTCATTTTGCTTTCCATCTAGCAAATTAATGTTATGAAATGTATTATCTCAAGGCAATGTGTCACTTAGTGTTATCTCATTAGCATTCTGGACAATGCAATGACTTCTAGCCTGAAAAATGGTCTGAAGACAAATTTAATTTATAAAGCAACGCAATAATCGGTGGCTTAGAAAAAGAATGTAATATTACTTTTTCTATAATTAAAACGAATAATTGTAAATAACATTATGGAATAGCACAATTGCATATCGAAAAAAAAATGTCAAGCCAAACAGCTTCATGCATACAATGCACAGGTTAAATAATCATCCATTTTAAATGTCAAGTAGCCAGTGATCTTGAATTTGCTCTGTACAAAGTGTTTAATGAGTAATGAATGTGCAAAATTTCTTTTACTAAAATATAAAAGAAACTTGATCTACTTTTTTCCACTAGGTTACTCGTAAGTCCTAAAGCTAGGTATTTCATAAGAAATTAGAAAGAGTTGAACAACCCATAACAGTTTTTAAATCTATAGACAACAAAGGCAATGCTAATGTTCCTAGGGTCTGAGAGACAGGATAATGGATTGCAAAAAAAAAACCCTACATACTGCACAGGGCTAAAGTTGTTTTGCAAGGATAAAGAAGGAGGCTGTGTTTCAGGGACACTAGTCTTTAATGTGCATACATTATCATGTTTCATTAAATTTTTAATACAGTCAGTTAAAAACCAGCAGGTAAAAAGCCAATTTCAGTTACTGAAGAAACCAAAAACCAGTGTATGATGTATGTTTTACAAGACAAAGGTTGGGCTACCTAGCCCATTATACAATTTCTGTTCAGAGGTATCATGCATGCTTTCTTCAAAAAATATCATGCATATTCCTCTCAATGTCAAATGCATTACACAAGAATTAAACTTAGAAAAGATACTTCAACAAGTCTGTTTTATCTCTTTTTTACTCTTATTCCACTGCCCTGAAAGCTTTAAAAAGAACAATGTTCACTAAACTCATGCCTTTTTAAACTGACATAAATAATTTATTAAGTATTAGTTTTAAAATCTTGATGTTAATTTAGGTAATATTTATATTTTGGCATAGGCCGAAAGGTGAGCAGGTCAGTCAGATGAATTATAATGGAGCCACCTTTAAAGAAAAGTAACACTTGTGTGTGAGGAGTTAAAAGAATTTGACTTCAGTGATGTGAAGTAATATATACATATTTGTTTTCCAAATATAATGCGTTAAAATGTAGCAGGAGACAATGCTGATACAAAGAAAACATCAGTTTAAAAGTTTTATATACATTTATTGTAAATGTCAACCTTATCATGCACACTATACAAATACAAAAGAATACGACATATCAACTGCAACCTAATTTAGATCCTTCAATCAGATTGTGCCCCAAGTGTACTTATTGGGTGTGAAAGAATGAGTACAAAACCCTCCAATTATCTTATGCCTACATTATAATCAAAGCCAAATATGGATTTTTAGTGGATGTTCCTAAACACGGTACAGGTTGCCAAGGATGGTTCCTAGATGGGAGATATGTGTTCTTACGATTTGGCTTGTAGTCCCTCTAAGGGGGATGATGTGAACACAGTTTGGAGGCTCATGGGTTCTAACTCATGCTAGATGAGAAAACAGACAGTTTTCCCAAGGTTGTTAAATCCTTATATGAGACCCAGAATTCAGAGGCTCTGTGAGACTGAGTGGGAAGAGCCTTCAACCCTGACTAGGAGGACTGTGGCCCTAAAAGGGTTACCCCATCTGCAGGAGAGGCCTGAAAAGGAACAGGAAGCAATCAGCAGATGTCTGAGGTGTAATGAAGCAAACTGCTGTGTGAGATGCGTGTACTGTCTTGTAACTAAGGTTAGGTTCACACAATGTCAGTTTCCCCTGCTGCCGCATTTGCAAGGGTACAGCAGCTCATTCATTTGAATAGGCTCCCTAATAGGCTCCTGTACCTATGAAAACACTCATAAAAGGTCCCTGCGCCTCTTCCAAAATTGCAGGCACAAGAAAAAAAAATGCATAGTGCTATGCTATTCCCAGCACAGGAAAGTGCATATTGCTATGCGGGTGTGGAAAGCATGTGATTTACACATAGTCCTGCACCCCTTCAGAACCTAGCCTGAGACACCTGTTGCTGGTGACCTTGCTGTTGGGAGACTGGGAGCAGGCGGGGGGTCTGGCATTTTTTGCTGGCTGATAGCTAAAAAGAGTGGGAAATTTGAGTGGAGAGTAAAAAGGTTTACTTTTGACTGCTGGTGATTGCTGGTGCTTGTAGTTTTATTTTCGTCTTTGGGTCTTGCTAAAAGCTTTTACTCTTTAAATCACTTTGTCTGTCACTTTTTAAATAGCATTTTTTTCTACCTTCCCTTGCCTTCCTTCAGTCTGCTAATTAAGGGGAGGGGTAATTGGTCACAGGTGATATTGGTACTATATAACTTGCTGTAGAGCTCACTCTGAGCTTGCTCATTCTTGAGCTTGCCTGTATTTTGGTTGCTGGACCTTTGACTAACTGAACATTTGATAAGTGGAGTTAAAAATCCGGCATGGAAAACAGGAAATTTTAACAAGGGTCTACTAACCTGTAAGTGACAACTGATATTTCCTACAAATATTGTAACTGGGATATGAGTACTAGCAAGGTTGAAGGTTTTGTGCAGTGCATAGTGTGCCACATGTATGCCACAATGGAGCAACAGCTTCAGGATGGATACTATTGCGACAAATGTGAGTGGGTTGCCCTTCTGGATGCTGGCGTTAGAGATCTGGAGGAGCAAGTTGCAACACTGGGCAGAACCGACAACCTTGAAAGGGATCTTCTGCTCTCTGAGCAGGTAGTTAATGGGATTGATGTGGAGGGCAGAGGGACCAATCAGGATTATCAGGTAGGAAGGTGGATTACTGTAATGAGAGGGAGTGGTAGAGGCTCACAGAAAAGAAAGGCCAGCCCTGGGTTTGTGCACCCAAGCAGATTTGCCAAGTTGGGGGAAGATGTGGGGGGTGGCAAGCTCAGGGGTGGCAGCCCTGTATGTCACTGCTATTCCTAACAGTCGGGAGGGCAGACCATCTGGGAGGGGTGGTGAGGGTAGTACAGGAAAGCCTAGATAGCTGGTGGTAGTAGGGTTTCTATAATCAGAAGGACTGATAGAATAATTTGATGCCAGGACCGCCTCAACCGTATGGTTTGCGGTCTCCTTGGTACTAGGGTTCGGCATGTGGTGGACCTGGGTGATAAATTACTGGGATGGGCTAGGCATGACTCAGCTGTCTCGGTCCATGTTGGAACCAATGACAGAATACATGGAAGGTGGAGGCTCCTTAAGAATAAATTTAAAGAACTAGGCTGCAAGTTGAAGGGAAGGACCTCCAAGGTGATAGTCTCTGAAATATTACCTGTGCCATGTGCAACAAAGGAAAGACAGGGGGAGATTAGAAAACTCAATGCATGGCTAAAGCACTGGTGTAAGAGGGAAGGATTTGGGTTTGAAGAGCACTGGCCTGATTTTTCATTGAGGTGCAACTTATATGCTAGAGATGGTTTGCACCTAAATGGAAGGGGGTTTGCTGTGCTGGGGGAGAGGTTTATGGGAAGGCTGGAGGAGTATTTAAACTAGGATTGAGGGGGGAGAGGGAGAATTAGATTATAACGGGGTAGACAGATTAGACAGGAGTCAGTACTTATTGGTGGGTGGAATTGGTAAAGAAGTAGGGAGGGATATGGCAGATAAGAAGGTTCCCATGTTACAAACAACCAGTAGAATTGGTACCATTTGTATGAAAATAAAAAATATGCAAAATAAGTGTGCACAAGGTGTCAATGAATTAAAGTGTTTGTTCACCAATTACAGAAGTCTGCCAAGCAAACTAGGTGAGTTGGAAGCTTTGGTGCATGAAGAGAACTATGATTTAATTAGTACTGCTGAATCTTGGCTTCATTCTTCACATGACTGGGCCATTAATATTCCTGGCTATGTTCTCTTTCAGAAAGACAGGGTAAGTAGGAAGGTGGTGATGTCTGTCTCTATGTGAAAAGTGATCTCAGAGCGATAGTGAAAGAGGACCTAGTTGATAGAGCCTGTGATGAGGCTGAAGCATTATGGGTAGAACTGCACATGGGGGTGTGTACTACAAAGGTAATCATTGGAGTTTGTTATACTGGCCTCCCGGTGTTAATGAGTAGGTGGAGACTCAGCTCCTTGCACAGACTGAAAGGGCTGCAAGGGCGGGGACAGTGATAATAATAGGATTTTAACTACCCAGAAATTGACTGGATTAATGGTACTGCAGATACAGTTAAAGGGCAAACCATAAAGAGCTTATTATGAATGTCCATATAAAAGAACATCTGGGTAGCAGTGACCATAACATGATTTCATTTATTGTTAGCTGTAAACAGTAAGCACATATTGGAAAAATAAAAACGCTCAATTTTAAGAGAGCTAATTTTCCAAGGCTGGAAAGGAAATATGCTCTCCAAGACAGACTGGGAGGGAATATTGGCTTCAATGAACACAACACAGAAATGGTAGTTCTTCAAAAAGACTGAATGTGAACACACTGCAAAATATATTCCCATGGGCAACAAGTTTGTCAGGAATGGACTCACTGCTGGTGATGCTGGGGCTCACCTGCCATGTGGGCTGCAGTACCGGTGCTTGCCAGCGGGTGCTTTCAGCAGCCAGGATCTCATTCCTGCAATCAAGCCATCACCTGAGGCTGATTGCAGGAGGTGTATTTAAGCAGGACCAGGCCTGCAATCAGCTCCTTGGTGTTTTCCCATGAGCCCCTGTATCTTGTTCCTAGTTTCCTGTGCATCTGTTCCTGAGAGAAGTTACCTTGTTGCCGACCCTGCCTGATCCTGATTCCTGTTGGCCATCTCCTGCACTGACTCCTGGCTCGTCCCTGACTATTCTTCTGCCTACTCCTATGCTGTTTGACCTCCTGTTGCTGTACCTTGGCTTGTGACCCATTTACTCTTTGCCTGCTGCTCTGTACTGATCTGCCTCCACCGTTACCGAGCCGGCTTGTCTGACTATGCTACACTCCATACTGTCATCCATCCATCCCACACAGATCCAGTCACTACTGTCCGAACCTGCCAGCCCCTTCATATCAGGCTCTCCCCTGGTACATATCCTCTGGCGAAAAGGCAGACTGGGGCTTAGACTCCGCGCCCTGGGGAATCCAGTTCTGTCAGTCACTAGAGATCCCGCTGAGCGGTGCCTGACAGTACCTTACGGACTGCCTGACCATTCCACCTCTCCAGCCCTGACTACGCCTGTGTTCCTGCACATATTGATATTAGTGTAAGGTTGGTTTTGTTTACTGTGCATTTTGTATATTTGGGTGGCTAATAATAAATTATATTATTATTTGTCAGGGCTCCAGGTATGACCAGAGGTGTGTGGACCGACACAGGGAAACACAGACTTCAGGTATAGCGTGTAAAACAATATAATTTATTAAGGCAACACAGACATAAACGCAGTGCAACAAACCAAACCCAAAACTAACACAAATACGTACAACAAGGTGCAACAAACCCAAACTTTAACTGATATATATATATATATATATATATAAATATGGATCACAACGTAGTCAGGCGGGCCGGGTCGGTAGTTAATGAACAGACAAGGTACAAGGAATAGGCAGAAGATTGGTCAGGAGTAGCCAAGGTCAGTGCAGGCAGAGTTCAAGCAGTCATGATCAGGCAGGAAAGCATACAGGATGCAGGTACAGGGGCTCATGGGAACAATACACCAAGGCCCTGACTGCAGGCCTGGCCATTCCTTAAATACACCTCCTGCAATCAGCCTCAGGTGATGGCTTGATTGCAGGAGTGAGCTTCTGGCTGCTGAGAGCACCCGCTGGCCAGCCCTGGTACTGCAGCCCACAAGGCAGGTGAGTCCCACCACCATTGGCGAGTCCATTCCTGACATTATTACATCATTCCTGAAGCCTGCTACTTCCCTGTGTCAGTCCACACATTTCTGGTCATACCCGGGTCCCTGACAAAGTTTAAAAGGCTACAAATCAAACCTATGTGGCTAACGGCCAAACTTAAAAAAAGCTTTAGATAATAAGAAAAGAGCTTTTAGTAAATATAAAAATGAAGAAACGCTATCATCGTTATATTAAAGAATATAACAGAATATGCAAAAAGGAAAGAAAGGCCACAAAAATTGAAAACGAACGACAGATTGCAAAAGATAGCAGGACCAACTCCAAAAAATTCTTGAAATATAATAATAAAAAGGTCCGGTCCAAACATGTAGGCCCTTTACAAAATAATCTAGAGTGGGTGACTGGGAACAAAGAGAAGGCAAATTTATTAAATACCTTCTTCAGCTCTGTGTATACAAAGGAGAATGGGGGGAGCTCTCGTCCATAATGGGCATGGTATTGACACAGCTCCAGATGATCCAGATTGGCTCACAATTGATATGATCCAAAAAATATTTAAACAGAATAAAAGGTGAATAAAGCGCCTGGACCGGATGGCATACACCTATGGGTCCTTAAAGAATTGAGCTCGGGCATTTCAAAGCCATCGTTTCTAATTTTTAGGAACTCTTTAATGACTGGCATAGTACCACTGGATTGGCATAAGGCCAATGTGGTGCCAATATTTAAAAAAGGGGTCAAAATCTTTACCAAGTAATTATAGACCTGTTAGTTTAACTTCTATAGTTGGGAAGATACTGGAGAGTTTAATAAAATACCAAATGATAAGTTCTTGCTGTAAAAAAAATATTTTTAGCAACAGACAGCATGGATACATGAAAGACAGAAGTTGTCAAACAAATCTGATTTCTTTTAATGAGGAGGTGAGCAAAACCTTGGACAGAGGGATGGCGATGGACGTGGTATACTTGGATTTTGCCAACGCCTTTGACACAGTTCCCCACACATGGCTAATGTGTAAGGTAAAGTCTAGGGGCTTGGAAAAAACTGTATGTAAATGGATAGAAGACTGGCTAAAAGATTGTATTCAGAGAGTAGTGGTTAATGATTCATACTCTGAATGGTCTAGGGTTAACAGTGGTGTACCTCAAGGTTCAGTGTTGGGACCCTTACTTTTTAATATATTTATAAACGATATAGGGTCTGGGATTAAAAATACCATTTCAGTCTTTGCAGATGACACCAAGCTGTGCAGTGGAATAGCGTGCTTACAGGATGTCTCCAATTTACAAGCTGACCTCAATGCACTGTTTAATTGGGCAACTATGTGGCAAATGAGGTTTAATGTTGATAAATGTAAGGTTCTGCACTTGGGGGCTAAGAATATGCATGCATCATACATACTAGGGGGGTACAACTGGGGGAATCAATGGTGGAGGAGGATCTGGGGGTTCTGGTAGATCACAAGGTTAATATTGGCTTGCAATGCCAAATTGCAGTTTCTAAAGCAAGCAAAATCCTCTCTTGTGTTAAAAAAGGTATAGACTCCAGAGAGAGAGAGAGAGAGAGATCATTCTACCCCTTTACAAATCATTAGTAATACCTCACCTGGAATATGCAGTTCAATTTTGGGCACCAATTCACAAAAAGAACATTGGGGAACTGGAGAAAGTACAGAGAAGGACAACCAAACTGATATGTTTCATGGAGGAGCTCAACTACGAGGAAAGATTAGAGGAACTAAATGTATTCTCTCTTGAGAAGAGGAAATTAAGGGGGGATATGCTCATTATGTATACAGTGAAGGAAATAAGTGTTTGGAGATTACATTTATTTTCCTCCAGATGTAAAGAGTGCCCCCTTGTCCTCTGTGATGACCTCAGGGTGAATAACTCTACACCAAGTTCACTATATGAACCACTGATGTATTTACTGTAATTACATCAGTGGTTCATATAGTGAACTCTGTGTAGAGTTATTCACCCTGAGGTCATCTCAGAGAACAAGGGGGCACTCTTTCCGTCTGGAGGAAAATAAATGTAATCTCCAAACACGGAAAGGTCTCTTCACAGTAAGAGCTGTAAAAATGTGGAATAGACTCCCTCAAGAGTTGGTTCTGGCCAGCTCAGTTGATTGCTTTAAAAAAAGGCCTGGATTATTTCTTGGATACACAGAATATAACTGGATACTAACATTTATAGGTAAAGTTGATCCAGGGAATATCTGATTGACTTTTGGGGGATCAGGGAGGAATCTTTTCCCCTGCAGGAGCAAATACTGTATATGATCCAATAGAGGTTGCATAAATTTCACCCATCTGACTCAGGGATATGATTTAGAGGGTTACAAAAGCAGGCTCTATGGTTTGTACACGGTACGCTGGCTATGTCCTGCAATTTTTTTTTTCATTTAGGACTCTACTCATTAGGGCTTGATCTCATTACCGTTTTATCTAATATCTTAACATCTTAACAGGCTCTATAATAATCCACGTAAGCCTCTTAACTCAGCCTTTTTTTTTTCAAATCAGGGTTCGGATTTCCCTCTCTACACTGACCACCAATGCTAGGGCTCAGTTTATCACTGACCACTCATGGAAGGGGTCACTACTACACTGACCACTAACGTTATGGTATAACACAATTTTTACTGTTTTTTTTTCTATAATTTTTATTAATTTCAAATTTATTACTAAAACAATTTTGTTGTATAGAACAGAGAGTAGTATTGCAAAAAATGATCTTGACTGTGAATAAAATACTCTAGATACACCACCTTCTTTAGTCTTATTAAAAACATTACTGATTATGTTAACTGGCCATGCGTTGCAGGTATAATAATTTTTAGCAGGAGTTTCCCCGAGACCTGAAAATAATTATCCTGGTTCCTCCAGGATAAAAAGGCTGATAAAAACTGTCCTAGGCAAATAATGCCTGAGCACATTTCATTGGTTGATACAATCTACAATTGCTAAAATCTATCTGCTAACTGTGGAAAGCACCAAATCTCTTTGGTTGCTATGAAAATATGAACTGTATTATGATCACAGGAAAGATACATTTTTTATTAAATATTATACCATAGCATTCCAATACCACAGCCCTGGAATGAATACCTTTATAGACCCTCTTATATTACTTATTGGAAATTTGACAGCCCATTTTATAGGAGTTAATCTAAATTGCAAACTCTACTGTATATTGGAGAGTATATATCAGTTACATTCATGCTGCAATATCAAGAGTTTTGCATTATTACTATATATATATATATATATAATGTGTGTGTGTGTGTATATATATGTTTGTGTGTATGTGTGTGTATATATCATATATATATATATATATATATATATATATACATACATATACATACACACAAAACACATATATATATATATACATACATACTATAACATACATACATATGCAAACACATATACACACACACACACAATATATCTATATATTTGACTCATTTTTTTTGTTATGTGCTTTATTAGTTCCCTCCCAAAAGAATTATGTAGTGGATTTTCCCTATGTAACTTTGTTCTAAATCGCAAACTTATTTTAGCAAAGAATATGAAGGCTTTGCATAGTGGCATCATAAACACAATAAAATTTAAATTTTTTCACAGACCACAGCAAAATAGTTGCAGATAAGATGATCTACAGCTGCCTGAAATTTAGAAATTGTTAGCAAAAATGTTAGCACAACATAATAGAAACTTGGAGGGCTTTCATTACCTTTCAATAGTCCCTATACACACAAAGGGAATGAAACATGGTACTTCATAAACTGTCTTTGTATATGACATTTTAATGTTTTCAGTGAGGTAATTGCTACAGACAGAGTAGTTAATACTTGTCTTGGAAAAAAGTGATACAATCATACTTGATTAGGCAATTCCAATATACTCTATCCCCGATGACATCTACAAATATCCCAGCCAGGCAAAATTCATGTCACATATGTGTGGAAATATTAACATATTATTTCACTTATTATAATAGCTCAGCAACATGTTCTCTCACTATAATAGCAAACAGTGAAGGAACCAGTCCACTCTTCTTTTATTTTGTGGAAAGTATGTCACTATGGTATAGACACTTTTTTTTTTTTTTTTACCATACAAGCACATGCTGGTATACTGCCAGATTTTCTCTTTGTGCTCCAAACTTCCTTCTGATTTTTAAGCTCCTCAGAGCACTGACCTACTTACTCAGCTAATTTGTATAAATGCATTTCACTTGTAGGCCAAAAAGTACTGCTTAGTACAACAATATGCTGCATCTTTGAAATGCCATTATCACATTTTTATTATCTTCCCACTTGTACATATTTCACATACACATACATACTTTCACATGTAATACTGTATTACAAAAGACAGACAGACAGATAGCTAGATATTGTAGATACAGGCACTCACATGACTTGGAAGATTAATAAAAAGAATCATGGTTCTGCTGAGCCCTGTTATCCCTTAACGGGGGTTAGCTGTTTTTTTTTAATGTTGCTTTTTTTTATGTTCTCCTTTTCAATACTCCTCCTGGCATGTGATTTATCTTAAACGTGGGAGGGGGTTCTTTGGGTATTGTAGATTTTTGTAGATAGTGATAGCTCTGACAAAGGTGAGCTGCATTCTATGGAAACATCAGCTGTCAACTTAAAAAAAAAATGTGCTTATTGATACTCCTTGTGCCAAGTCCCTTGTGTAGCTGTGTCACTTCTAGTGTGTGAACCAATTTTCATTATTGTTAAAATCTACTTTATTACCAATGGCCTTACCAAGATATTTTCATGCTGATCAGACCAGTCAGGCAGTTCCACTCTGCTGAAATTCATGTGAATTTGGTAAAACTTTCTTGAATGGTCCTATTACATCATGTCTCAACATTGAAATTGAGGCAACAGCTCTGGTTTGGCCTTTCTAAAAATATACATTTCTTCTGTTTGAACCATTCCACAAATTTACTTACACATTTTGTAAACTTTTTTTTATAAACGAGAGATACCTTTGCAATGTGCTTTCTTCATGATTAAAAACCATTCAGGGTCTGATGCACCAAAACAGTCCATATTTCAGTTTTAGTGTTGTTGTGCTTTTTGTTCTCAGATCATCATGTGAACATTTACACAAGAATTCAATTTTACCTGATATATATTGTTATAGGAGAGCTGTGAAACACTGAATTAAACTATAGCAAACATGAGATAAGTGAAGGGATGGACGCTGCTCAACTGACACAAGGGGGTTTATTAAAGCTGGAGAGTCCAAAATCAGACTCCCTTCTGCCTAGAAACCAATCAGCTTCTAACCTCAGCTTGTTCAATGAAGCTTTGGCAATGAAACCTGGAAGCTGATTGGTTTCTATGCAGAAGGGAGTCTGATTTTGGACTCTTCAGCTTTAGTAAATAAACCCCAAGGAGTCCAATGTTGAGGAATGGCCTCAGCCGCTGTTCTGGCCACACCCCCCGAGGATGTGGCCAGAACAGCGGCTGAGGGAATTCCTCAACATTGGACTCCTGGGTCGGTTGAGCAGCATCCATCCCTTCACTTGTATTGGCTGACACTGGAATCGCTCAGACTCATGCTCCCCTTTTCTCACTTGCTGGAGGGATAATCCTTTTCTTTCCATTCATACTGTATGGCACCACGCGGTATATCTTTCACTGTAGATGGACAGCTTGGTGAGCAGTGTTTTTTCTTCGGTAAGCTCTTATGAAGCTCCACGCATCTTTTCAACATTTTATTTTGGAAGACAAACAAATATGCTTTCAAGTGCAAAAGATCCATGCAAGCACTTAGTGGTCATCCTAGCTAGCCCTAGGTTTGGTTTGAGCAGTGTTCAATGAACTTCAAAGAAGTTCAGAACCCAAACCTAAACCCTGCTGAAGGCAATAGGTGCCAAATCTGTAAATTTATAAATGCAATTTTCTAGGTTAATAGGCAAAAAAATAAAATAGGGGTTTGCCGAGGGGACACATTTATGTGATATACAGAAAGTGCTGCAGCAGCACCGACATTTACAATGGAAAAATATTTTCTAAATTGCTGGAAAATGACCTGTCATTAACAGACCCTTTTTCTGTTTATTTTAGAGGAGTCAATGTGCTGGTTGTTTTAGGCAATTTAAACTGTATCTTTTTTTTATCTGAAGATGTCACTTTTGCTGTAGCACATCCTATATCAAAGAATAAAAACTGCATGCCCTGGTGGGAGTCTGTTATAAATTTTAAGGGGGACTCCACACAAAAAAAAATGTTACGTCCCCCTAAAAAAAGACACTTAATCCAAGCATGTAGTCTGGCTTACCAGAAAGGGGGGGGTGTACTGTTCCCCCACCCCACATTCCATAATCATAAGGGGTACCTTGCCAGTGGGGACCCCCTGGCAAAGCACCTTGCCCCTATGTTGAAGAGGACAAGGGCCTCCACCCAACAACCCTTGCCAATGGTTGTGGGGGGTGTCTGAGCGCGGGAGCTTTTTGGAATCTGGATGCTGTCATTTAAAATAAGAGGGTTCCCAGATACCACCTCTCCCCATGTAAATGAGTATAGAGTTGTGATACATATGTGACATGAGTGTATAGGATGTATGGATGAGAAGTGATTGACACTCAGCTGTCATAATGCTAACGATTATAACCATTAGATGGGTAACTGGAGTTCAAAATAACATGTAGGAAGTGTACATTATCCAGTGAAAACCAGTTGAAACCAGAGATATGGCTGATATTCACCAGATGTGCATTCCATCAAAATAGGTAACTACGCGTGATGGCACAGCCGATCACACGTTGACTCTAACTACTACGCAGAATCATACATGCAGGAGATACTGCGCATGGCAGTAGATAAGGACATTCCAAACTATGTATATAAAAGACGGAGCATTCTAGGGGAATTTGGGACTCATTGAAGATGCGGCAGACGTGCCTTGCGGTGATTTCCCAGATTCCCCTTTGCTGGCTGTTGGAGTCCCCCAGTCGTTGGGCAATGGGTGATGCTACAATATCCGGTGATGTATTGATGCTTTGTTCTTGCTATAATATGATCTAAATATGATTTGCAATTCTGACAATTCTTATGTTATTATACACTAACAGAACTTATTCAATCAATCATGTTTTGTTTTATTACTTATTAAACCTAATCCGTGTATTAGTGAGCGATTGTAGTAGTGTTAAAAATACTTTGTTTTGAGGCAAGACAAGAGTACACAGGATACCTCAAATCTTTTAAAAGAAAAAACGATTTGCAAACTAATAATAAAGACACCCAAACACTTGACCTTTAATAATTAAAAAAAAAAACTGTCAACAGATATTTAACTACTTGCCTACAGGGCACTTCTACCCCCTTCCTGCCCAGGCGAATTTTCAGCTTTCAGCACTGTCACACTTTGAATGACAACTGCACGGTCATGCAACACTGTACCCATATGAAATTTTTATCATTTTTTTTAGACAGATAGAGCTTTCTTTTGGTGGTATTTAATCATTTTATTTTTTCTTAAACAAACCAAAAACCATTGAAAATTTTGAAAAAAAAAATGTTTATCTTAGTTTTTGTTATACAATTTTGTAAATAAGTGATTTTTCTCCTTCACTGATGTGCGCTAATGAGGCTGCAGTGATGGGCACTGATAGGCTGCACTGATGGACACTGATAGGTGGCACTGATGAGGAAGCACTGGTAGGTTGCACTGATGGGCATTGACAGGCATCACTGATGGGCACTGAAAGGCAGCACTGATATATGGCACAGATAGGCGGCACTGATTGGCACTGATAGGCGACACTGACTGGCACTGATATGTGGCACTGATTGGCAGCACTGATAGGTGGCACTGACTGGCACTGATAGGTGACATTGAAAGGCAGCTCAGATGGGCACTGATATGTGGCATTGATGTGCACTGGTATGCACTGATATGTGGCATTGATGTGGCACTGATGGGCACTGGCACATGGCACTGATGAGCACTGACTGCTGGCACTGATGGACACTGATAGATGGCACTTCTGGGGCCACACTGATCATCAGGGCACACTGATCATCAGTGCCCTGATGATCAGTGTACATGTCCCCTCTGCGCAAAGCCGATTACTGGCTCTCCGCTCTTCTCGAGCTGTCAGCATGACAGCTCGAGAGGAGAGAAATGCAGATAACCGGCATTTCCGTGTTTACATGTGATCAGCTGTGATTGGACACAGCTGATCACATGACCGAGCCGACATCTTCGGTTCTTTCCATGATCCGCTGTGTCCAAGGGAGCCGTGCATGCGCGGTGAGAATGGAAGGACGTCATATGTCGTCCTATCAGAATGAGAGAACCACCTTGCACCCGTCATTGTACTATATGGCGGGCGGAAGGTGGTTAAAAGGGAAGGAGCAGAGATGGTTGTGACATCATTGACCAAAAATGGCCATGGCCACATTTGGTCATTGTTCACATACAGTATGCCTAGTGGCCATATTTGGACAGTGATGTCATTGCCATTCTCCTCTGCTTAAATGGTGGACATTCCTGGTGATGACAGTGGTTACTAGGGATGGTGGAAATAACCATTATACATTATAAACAGTATATATGATTTAGGGCTAGGTAATAAATTGTAACACTTCAGAAATCATTATTTCTGAATACATTTATGTTATACATTTAACTCAATCCATCACAAAAAAGCCAAGTCATACCTTTTAAGAAACTTGTCTATGATAACCAAGGCTTTTTATCCAAAATGACATAGGAAAGTTAACCGAGAACTGCATATTTTGTAAAAGTCAGCTCTAACACATTTTACATTTTCAAGGAAAGTATTATCTGTATCCTTAGGGAAAACATTTAATAGTCCCCATGGTCAAGAGAATGTATTTGCAAGTACAAACATATTTTGTATGCAAATGTCTTCAACTAAATGTGCTCCAACATACTAGATAGGCACAGCACTCTCATGGGAAAGGACACCAAATTAGGGTTGGCTATTACACAGTTCTTTAATACACTACATACACCGTGCTGATTATTCTTTATTTCTTTTAAAAGTTAAAGCAGTGTTAAAAAAAACCCAAAAACACATTTTAGGAAAAACACTCACTCCTGGGTTCATGATTATTCCCTAATGTATTGATCAATTCTTTTCCTTAACCAATTCAATACCAGGCACTTTCACCCCCTTCCTGCACAGGCCAATTTATTAGCTTTCAGTGCTTTCACACTTTGAATGACAATTGCACAGTCATGTAACACTGTACCCATATGAAATTTTTATCTTTTTTCACATAGATAGAATTTTCTTTTGATGATACTTAAAGTATACTGTAACTAAATGCAAATATGTTTTGTTTAGTTTTGGATAGAGTGGACAGGATTAGAACACAGATTAGGATTTTATTGCTGTCTGTGCCCATTAGGGAGATCCACCTTCTCTATTTGTCCTGTTTGCCATTATCATTAAAGTGCTACTAAACCCAGGACCCTGCATTCGCTATATCTGGTCCTACACAGTACACAGAGCATGGAAGTGCAATTATTTTAGTAAATATAAACTGCTAAACACCTTTTCTCATCAGCAGTTAGAGAAGTCTTGTATCTTCTATCAGCAGTGTTCAGCAGAGCACTGGTAAGGCTTGCAGGAGCAGTTTTTTTTCTGCTCTAGGAGGATGCAAAAACCCCTGATCTCTGTCTGGACAGTGCTGATCACATGCACTCTCCCAAGGAAAAAAAAAATCTCCCTAGCAATGCACAGTAAACTGAGCTTGTGCATGTGGCTGCAGGTTTAGTCTGTTTTATCAGGAGATAAGATGTGGACATTTGAACAAGAGGATGGCCAGAGAAAACAAGATCAAATGGCCTTTTTATACAATGCAGAGGATTAACCCCTTTTTATTTTTACCTATTGTCACCAGTGTAGTACAACATCATCATACAATTTGTGTGGCGGTGATCAGGAACACTGACTGGTGACAGTACAAAAAAAAATAAATTGTTTACATTTCTTTTTCTATTTCAATACTTTTTGCTTATTTTTATGATTTTATTTTCTAAACACTGTGACCAATGCAATATAATATTACCATAGTAACATTGTACTACTCTGGGGAACTGATCAAGATTTAAATTTTTTTTTTTAAATTATGATAAGCAAGCATTTTTACCGAAAGAAATAGATTCAGTTAGTATGTATTATTATTAACTGTGACTGGCCACAGCTAATCACACGGTGCAGGGTGGACTGTGATCGGCCCTGTCTGTACCAAGTGATCACTGTGACCAATCATAGCTAGCAACACAATTGTACACATTGAATAACATGATTCAAAGCCATTGTTTACAATTGTCATGTGATCTTTTGTGATTGGTCGCAGTGATCACATGGTACCAGCAGTGAGCCAGTACAGTGATCTGTGATCAGCTGTGTCTGGTGGATTCAGCAGATTGTGCCCACAGCATGGCTGTGCACACTTCAAGGACATCATATGGTGCCCACCAAAAATGTTAATGTAAATTGTTAATAGAAAATACTTTAGCTGTAGTACAGAGATGTCAAATATATTTCTTTATACACAAACACAAAAATCATACAGATGAATTTCAGAGAAATAGAAATGACAACACTTTTCAAATGTAATACTTCAATTTACGAAAGCCTGTGAAATATAAAGTGGTACAAAAGAGAGTTTGTCATTAGGGAGGACCTACAACACAGCTCCTGCCCTTGATATCCCATTTTCTAGAAATGGTTGATAATTATTATGGCGCTTGACTGAACTGGCTGAAAAGCTTTTAGCCATACAGTTATAGCATGCAGTATACTCATCCAGCCTGGTCCAGATTTAATATGTCTGATGATCTTTTGCTGCCAGCTTTTTAATAGCTCTTATATCTAATCCTTCAGTTCTTGTGTTTAAGTAAGTGAATACGCAAAATGCTACATAGAGAAGATTTTAAATAAGGGCTTACTGTCTTATTTATGAAAAATATTTTGCTCTTATTGCATTTGTAATCAATTCAGGAAACAATTTATGAATTAGAGACTGTCCTGACTGTTCCAATTAAATTATGTCATCTAGTGACTTTATGAGTTTGTGCTAAAATATTGCAAGCTGTTTGCAAGGATGAAGTGATATTAAACTATTTTTTTCATAATTCAGGATGTCCAGACATGCATACAGTATAATGTATCATCTTTCGTTCTTAAAAAAAAATCTATCCTGGATCCCTGGCTGGTTGCCTACCTCTTTGTGTATCTGGCTACAAAGGAGACACCTATGCATGTCCTTTTGCAGGGCTGTGTGCATGTGTCTATCTGCTTTTAGCATTACTGTAATAATATCTAGCTGGCTGGCTTGAAGGGGCATTTTGAAGCACATACCTTTATCTAAATAAGTTAAAGAGATGATACATTTTTTTTCCCATGAGATACATTTTTCCCCTCTCACACAACAATTCTGGTTGGTAATTTATTTTTGGTTTTGGATGTACAGTGTAGTTTTTGCTTTTAGTTTACTGTACTTCCTTGGTAACTGCTTAGTAGCAGTTCCTTGGTATTTTTAGGAGCTCCTTAACCATATGATAGACATTATCAAGTGAATCCAATTAATTCTTGAAATATGATACAATCGCTACACATTATATGATTAAAATGGCCCCTCCTCTTAAATAGTAGTGTGACATTTACTGGTATCCACCAACTATTTATTAGATTGCTACCCTATATTAACATCCTCCTTTACAATCTTTTTTATCATCCCCCTTTGCGTCTCCTTTTTTTCCCATTTTCTTTTTCCCATTCCCCCTTTCATCAGCCCTGCCTTTGAGGTGCCCCTGCACTTGCCCCTAGTACCTACAGTGCCTAAAATTTAACTTATTTTTAAGTGTAGTATTTATCAGTATACTAGTGACCTATTGTGTTTAATAATCTCTATATTGTGATATTATATATCTCTATATATTATACACAGTTAGGCTCCCAGTTCCTGTACCACATACTAATCACTATAGAAAAATACCCCAGAGAGGAAAAAATTTATTTTTTACTTTACTGGTACCAAGAAGGACATACAATCATTATAAGTCAATTTAACATCCATTTACTGGTTTAAAACCATACATAATAAAACCCCTATTGAGGTAATATTCTACAGGGGAAGTTCCACATGACTTTGTGGACAGCTAATATTGTACCTATCCAGAAGAAGGGCTGCAAGGTAGAAGCTAGCAATTACAGGCCAGTGAGTTTAACATCGGTTATTGTCAATATTATTAGAATATTATTATTATTATTCGAATCACACAACTTGATCGATCCAAAGCAGCATGGCTTTACCGAGGGCAGATCATGTCAGACTAATCTGATTGAATTTTTTTACTATATTGCCAATGTTTTAAACTTCGTGGTGCTGTAGACATAGCATATCTTCATTTCAACAAGGCATTTGATACAGTTCCGCATAATTATCTGATACAAAAGTTGTACAGGCTAAGCCTTAGTCCTTGAGTGGATATGGAGCTGGCTAAAGGATAGATACCAGAGTGTGGTTGTAAATGGGGTTCACTCAGAAAAGAGACCAGTCACTAGTGGTGTACCACAAGGCTCTGTACTAAGTAATGTTCTATTTAATCTATATGTACTGTAAGTGATATAACTAAAGGTTTGATGGGTATGTCTTTTTGCTGATGACACAAAGGTGTGCAATAGAGTTGATATCCCTGGAGGTGTATGTAACAATGAACATGATTTGGCATTGCTGGAAGATTGGTCAAAAAAGTGGAAGTTGCAGTTCAACTTCTAATTTAAAATAATGCACCTAGGGTAAAAGAGTCCCTAGAGTACAACATTGGGGGTACATTGTTGGCCAGCACTACAGAGGAAAAGGACTTGAGGGTACTTATTTCAGATGACTGCAAAATGGGCAAACAGTGTGGCCAGCAGTAAGGAAAGCAAATAGAATTCTAGGATGCATCACTTAAGGGGATTACCAGCAGGAGGAAGGAGGTCCCGATTCCCCTATATAGATCTTTAGATAAACCTCATTTACCACCGGCAGACTTGATGGACCACTCAGTCTTTTTCTGTCGTCACTTTTCCAGGTCTCCCCTTGTGATGCAAACTGCTATAGTAGAACTCTCTCCTACCACCACCTCAAAAAAAAAAAAAAAAAAAAAAAAAAAAAAAAAAAATATATATATATATATATATATATATATATATATATAAAAAGAATT